GATGGGGCAATAACCGGTAGGAACTTATCATAAAATATGTCAATGTCTGACAATCTACACTGGGGTGCAATGTATAAATTAGTGATGACGATAAAAGGAAAGCGGAAAAATTTAGGGTGACAGACGACAGTCAAGCAATCAACGCCATTCTGTAAATACTTAAAAAGTACTTGCCGCTCCAATTGGAATGGATGTAAGTAATTACACCGCCTCCCAACTTCTTCCTACACCGTTACTTATCCTGCCTGAAGCAGACGAAATTCTCCGGTTGGACCACGGAATCGTCCACGTCCGTATTGAGCCATGACTCCTGAAGACACAAGAGGTGTGAAATTCCTTTCGCTGGAGCTGGTAGAATAGGTCCCGAAGCTTCCCAAACCCAGAACGGACATTGTTACTCACAATGGTAGGTACAACTATCTTGCTGGGAGTAGTACGACCAAGGGCAGTTTGCCAACCGGCACGAATTCGGTTTCCGCGTCTGTAGTATTTGTGCGCTTGACTAACAATTGGCACTCCGAACATGGCAGTATGGTTTTTCATAACAGCATCCTTAATTTTTAACATAAATTCCTTTGTGTATAGGGTTAAAGCATGCATATTTAGCAATTTGGGTAGATAAATTCCAGAACGCAACGGTGGCGAGAAATTGTAGCGCACCCGTTCAAGGGGCGCTCGTAGCATGTAAAAATTCAGACCTTGGGCCAAACAAATCACGGTACAATAATCTTGCTAAAAAGAAAGGAAAAGTCCGTGATTTGCTCGAGGGCGCGATATTGCCCGGTCTCTCAGGCCAAAACAAGTGAATTTTCTTGGGAAATTTACAACCGGAGCCTTCGGCTAACCAAAGCCTGACTCGCAAGGCAGAAGGACGGTGTGTGAAAATCGCAATCCATTGGAGGCCGGTGTCCAGTTCATCGGATCATACGCCCTTTGGACAGGGTCAGACGTCCAGGGTGCCCAGTACACTTCCATACCCAATGGAGCCAGTGACCACTACTACGACCATTAGTGTGGTTCGTAAGCCTTTTCTTGGTTGATTTGGAATCAGGTTTTTAGCCAACTCCCCCAGGTGAACCGATAGTGGTTCACCAACCCGTATTTTGGCTTTTCGTCTCCTCACTTCGGTAGGAAAATACCGCCTCGTGAAGGCAGTGAGTAGGACTTCCCCAGCGGTGGTTATTTGAGACGCTTGACCGTATGGAAGCATTTCACGAGATGCAAGGGATGGGTGACTAGTCACAACCCGAGATACCCTTCCCCGACCGAACTGAGGCTTTCGGAGACAATGAGCATTCTTTAAAAGTAGCTAGTCAGTAGCCAGGTACTAAAGCGATCATTCTTTGCGACGGTACTCCAGCTCACCGACCGGTAGATGAAGCAATACTGGCAGCTGGGTGTGCTATGAAATATCCTTCAAGTTTTATCCTTTTTTAAATTTCAGTGTGTTCCAAATAAGCAAACTTTCGCAGAAACAAATCGGGGTCAGATTCAGAGCATCCCGGAAGATCAGACCCTCAAAATGCGTCGGTTTAACATTTCGGTACACGTTTAAACGCTTGTCATTGATCGAATTTTGCACGCTTCGTGTGCGGTATTAGACAGGCACACCACTTTTTACATTATAGTACTGAAGGATTTGGTTTGATTATAAAGTGGATTTCATCATATACAAAACAAATGAAGCGTGAACCAAAAAGCTGGGAAGCACTGGGCTGTTTTTGACCTGGTCGGTTTTCAGCAGCAGTACAAATCCATCGAGCCAACCGAGGATCGAACCCGGGACCTCACTTTGAACCGTAGAACAATGGTTCAAATTTGTTAATCTATATTTTTGAACATAAAAGCGATATTTTTCAAGCACAGCATGCACAGTCTTCCTCATGTTCCCCCTTATGTGTGTAGGACGTTTTCACGTGACCCATCCCAGAAGGCCAGGTTACATTAATAAATCAAAACTTCATGCTCCCCGTGACCTTATGCGCTTGCGGTGTGTCAAGGTGTGTTTATTCTCCTTTCATGTCTTGAGTCCTAAGGTGAAACTCTTGGATACTGGGCAGTGGCCACTGAACGACGGAAAAAATCCCTATAATTTGTTTTTATAGTTTCAGAATGGTCGGGGTGGGTGTCTCGGGTTGTGACTGGTCACCATTTCCTTACATATCGCGAAATGCTCCTATATGACCAAGCCTCTGAAATAGCCTCTACTGAGGAAGCCCTACTCACTGCTATCCTGTAGTGGAGGTGTTTTCCGACCAAAGTGAGAAGACGAAAAGCCGAAATCCAGGGCTATAACTGGGTTGGTGGACCATCGGTAGTTCACCTAAGAGAGCTGGCTCAAAACCCTGATTCCAAACCGACCAATAGGAGGCGTACGAACCACACACCTTCCTCGTTGTGGCAGTGGTCACT